CTGGAGGGGGTGACAGAGATAGGGAGGGGGTGTAGGGGGCTGGAGGGCGTTAGGGGGCTGGAGGAGGTGACAGAGATAGGGAGGGGGTATAGGGACTGGAGGAGGTGACATAGATAGGGAGGGAGTGTAGGGGCTGGAGGAGGTAATAGAGATAGGGAGGGGGTGTAGGGACTGGAGGAAGTAATAGAGATAGGGAGGGGGTGTAGGGGCTGGAGGAGATGACCGTGATAGGGAGGGGTTGTATGGGCTGGAGGAGATGACAGTGATAGGGACGGGGTGTAGATGTGGGAGGAGGTGACAGAGATGGGGAAAGGGCGTAGGATGCAGAAAAGGTGACAGAGATAGGGAGAGGCTGGAGGAGCTGGCAGGGTAAGGAGTGTAAAGTGGGTTAAAGTCGATCAGCCATAGACGCTAGATACAGTGGTACTGAGGAGCTAAACGCTAGTTCCAGCTCCTGACTCCCTGTCATGTTGCTTTGCCATGTCTGACTGCGATCTGGCTGCCCAGATCATGTTGATAATTCACAGACCACTTCCTCCATAGCCAGATTTTTCCTGTGCCTGAGAAGGCATAAGATCTGGGATTGAGTCACTTAGGCCCAACACTGTTCTCAGGCTGTGAGGTCAGGTATCCTCATAATGGTAAGGGCTGTTGGCAGCCAGTCTGGGAGATGGGGAGTGTCTGGGTGACAGACAACTGGATTTTATGGGTACGACTGCTTAAATATCCGACAACAGAATGTGAAGAATTCAGTGAGGAGGACATCTGTTAAGGTCCTTGAGTGCATGTGATGGGGAGAGATTGTGCGAAAGAGAGTTGGCATTACAGCCGACCTGACAGGAAAGAAAAGTCAGAATGCAACAGCCCCTTTTTAATCAGCAATTTCCCGCTACCAACACTTTGGATGCCTTGAGGGTTGTCATGATTTAAATACAAGTTTTACTTTCCCTTTGTATGCTATTTGGAAGGGTTGAGGAGAGCCTGGATACCTTTATTTTGTTGATGTACAAATCCCCCTTTCATAAAGTACAAGGCAGTTCTAAGACCTGGCTTTGTACAGTGCTGTCTTGCCTTGTTTTTACCGTAACCGTATGGACTAATTCAATCAGAGCTGAGTTTCTCTTTAATATTTTCAATTTCAAAGGAGCTCCTGATCTGGAGATTAAATCCATGCACATGTCAGTCCTTGTAGATTCAATGGACTGGGATAAATTACAGCCAACTTCACAAAGCCGAGCTGCCCTTGTACTCTCAGGAGGGCAATGCACATCTGGGTACTGCGGATCGCTGATCAAAATAACAAATTATATAAAAAGCTAGCTGAACATGGCCCAGCAATGGTCTGGCACTATGTTAGGGTCATACATTTTCTTGCATTTTTCAGTTGTTTGGGACTTTTTTTTTTACATGGGTCTGTTGGCCACCACAGGCAAAGTGGATACTGACAACGAATATTCTCAAATCCCCCCAGAAAGCGCACAACTAGAGACAGAGGAGTGTTGATGCTTTCAAATCTGGGGTTGGGAGGGGACTGAAGAAAGGCACTGGTCCCAAATAGACAGGAGATTTGTTTTGATTCATTTCTCTCAACGGGATACAGTTGGATCCCCAGGCACATCTGTCACAAGGACAGGGGAGCTCTCTTTTGTGTCCTGGGTCAGAATTTACAGAATTCATCCCTCAAGCAGACCCATCAAAAACAGATTAACTGAATTATAGAATCCCTACAGCGTGGAAGCAGGCCATTTGGCCCATCAAGTTCTCAACAACCCTCCGAAGAGCATCCCACCCAAACCCAATCCCACTACCCTAATTCTGTAACCCTGAATTTCCTATGGCTAATTCACCTAGACACTATGGGGCAATTTAGCATGGCCAATCCACCCTAACCTGCACATCTTTGGACTGTGGGACAAAACTGGAGCACCCAGAGGAAACCCACGCAGACACAGGGAGAATGTGCAAATTCCATACAGACAGTTGCCCAAGGGTGGAATCGAACCTGGGTCCCTGGTGCCGTGAGGCAGCAGTGCTAACGCTCCCCTAGTTCTTTGTAAGATTGCCAATGCATTTCAGATATGTATTGGAGCAGTTTGAGATGGGATTAAACTTTGATTTTAACTGCAATACTTATCTGTTAGCTGCTCGGATGTATGTAATGGATTCTGAAGGGATAGACTTATCATATTATCCTTCCGCTGGGGACTAGTTGGGCAGGAAATAAGTTTTAATAAAAACTGTTTATGCAGGAAAGATCCTGTCAGTGAAATGTTGTGTGATTCAGCTTCCTGCTGTGCTGAGAGAGGAGCCACTGATCAGTCAGTCTGCTACCTACTGTCAGGGTGGTACAGGGAGGAGACTGGTACGGGGGGTGGGGGTGGTAGGCTTGCGGAGGAAGGGGAGGCATTAGGATCAGGATCAGGCCTGGACTTTGATGAATTGCTTTATGGCCAATGTCAATTCACTGAAACCCTTGACTAGACATCTCCACTGTCAGAGAACAAGAATTGAAGGGGTAAAGGAAGTAGGAGTCCTCCTGAAACAAATACTTTCCAATCGTCTCGAAAGATCACTCAAAGGGAGAAATGAAGAGTCTCGGAGCCTCAGAAGGATTGAGTCTCCTGTAAGCTGCATCCCCATAATCAGATGCTGCCAGACCTGCTGAGCTTTTCCAGCAATTTCTATTTTTGTTTCTGATTTTCAGTCCTTTTGGTTTTTATCTCCATAATCTTTAGTGTGCTATTTTAGAAATCCCTGCACATGGGGAGCTACTGAAAAATGCCTGGTCAGCAAGGATATCTGGGGAATGTTTCGAAGGAAATGAGGCAGCAAAACCTCCTCCTTGACGACCCTAAGGTTTACATTAGAGAGCGTGCACTAAAGAATCCAAACACGGATAGATGGGGGAATTTGGTTCTGCTTTCCCTGAAGAAGAGACAGTGAGAGGAGATTTAATTGAGACGTTCAAAATCACGAGAGCTCTGGACAAGAGTACATAAGGAAGGAAAAAGAAATGTTCCCATTGTTAGAAAGATAATTAAGGTAACTAACAAAGAAGAAATGGCGACATGGAGAACAGCCCTTCTTATGCAGTGAGGGGTTGGGATCTGGACTGTGCTGCCTGAGAATGTGGCGGGGGCAGGTTGAATTGAGAGGGATTCAGCTAGTTTAGCTGGGAAGGAAAAACTTGTGGGGAAAGGGCAGAGGTGTGGCATGAGGTAGATTCCTTCTATGGTGGGGTTTGGGGTGGAGGAACAGCACAGACACAACTGCTTGAATGGCCACCTTCAGTGGCAGGACCTTTGGTACTCAAATTGCTGGTGTGTAACCTGACACCATCCACAGTGCAGCAGGATCTTGCTGAGCATTTCTGAAGAAGGCCCGAAACGTCAGCCTTCCTGCTCCTCTCATGCTGCTTGGCCTGCTGTGTTTATCCGGCTCTACACCTTGTTATCTCAGGATCTTGCTGAGCATTGTGCTGGTTCTGTCTGGGCTGTGGCTCCACAGGTGGATCTGCTCGTTCTCAGTCGGGACGAGGTGCCACCCAAGCTACAAGGAATGAACTGGCACCCCTGGAGCCCCCTCAGGTTTGCGTTAGGTGGTCACCTCAAGGCTGGTACTCCAGAATGACTGGCTGAGGCAGTGTTGTTGTTGTGGGAAGGTCATCCCACTGACTCCATTAAGAACAGGAAGCAGCCATTCAGCCCTTTGGGCCTGTACTATCAAGTAGTTGAGTAGCTAGGAGGCCTTGGGAAGACCCTGTCAGCTCGAGTAATATACCCAGTAGAACATCAGGACAAGAGGAAACAGCTAGCGATCTGATAGAGCCAGGCCACTGAAGAGAATGAGCAGTAGCAGCTGGTGAGAAAGGGAATCCTGATATGCTGGAGTCAGTTTGAATGACATTCTCTACCTCCCCAGAACAACAGGGATATTAACCAAATGGAACTTGTGCTTATTTGAAGTGGCTGTTGCTGGGTGGGATGGATCAGTAACTTTAAAGGCTCCATTCTAAATTTGCTTGCATCTTAACTGGAATCTCCTTTAAAAACAAAAGATATTTTTGACTGCCACTTACTAACCATCAGAGTTGTCACTTCCCAGTCCTTATGGGACTCATTGCCTCGCTTCCACTTCTTTTCAATTGTTAATTCTTTCAGTGAGATCCTCAGAGTGCTTTGCATATTGGGAGAAAGGGGAGCAATATTTCCCAGTGTTTACTGAGCAATGGTCGGCTACTTTTGGGGTGTGTGTGTGTGTGTGCACATGGGCACTGGTGTTGCTGCCAATCTATATGCAGGCACCTGGGCACTGTGGAGCCAGTCAGGCTCTGTATAGACATGGACATTGGGCTGTCAGCCAAGCTGTGTACAGGCACATGGGTACAGGTGTGCCAGCTGTATTGTGTGTGGGTGTTGGGGTGCCAGCAGCTTTGTTTAGGGAGGTAAAAGGACTGATTGAGTCCAGGATGGGGCTGAATGTACAAGGATAGTATGAAGATTGTGGTGAGCAGCTTTATTGCACTCTGATCTGAAAATGCTGGTTATGACATTGTCTTCCGACTGTCTTTCAGGGCTCTATGTATTCGCTCACCCTGAAATGCCTTATCAGCCTATCCACATTGATCCTGCTGGGACTCATCATCGCCTACCATGCCAGGGAAGTCCAGGTAGGCACTAACTGCTGGGAGTTCATGGTCCTTTTTCATCACTGAATTTGAGATGGTCTGTTGACCTGGCATGGATTTTAATCCTGAAAAGTGTGAGGTGCTGCATTTTGGGAAGACTGAAAAGGCAAGGGAGTACACGTTGGATGGTGGGACCCTAGGGAGTACAGAGTCTCAGAGGGATCTTGGTGTGCAAGCCTCACAGATCCTTGAAAGCAGCAGGACAGGCAGATAAGGTGGTTAGGCAGCGTATGGGATACTTGCCTTTATTAATCAAGGCACTGAATACAAAAGCTAAGCAGGTTGGACAGACGAGCTCTATATAACATTAGTCGGACCACAGCTGGAGTACTGTGTGCAATTCTGGTCCCCGCACTCTAGGAAGGATGTGATTGCACTGGAGAGGGTTTGGAGGAGATTCATCAGGGTATTGCCTGGGCTAGAGGGATTCCGCGATGAAGAGAGATAAGGCTGGCATTGTTTTCATTAGAGTAGAGAAGGCTGGGGGAAGGGATCTGATTGAGGGGTGTAAAATTATTTTAAGGTAAGGTGCAGGAGGTTTAGAAGGGATAGGAGGAAAAGGTGTTCACCCAGATAGTGATGGGTATCTGAACTCACTGCCCAAAAGAGGTGGAAACCCTCAAGACATGTCAAAAATATTTGGATGAACACTTTGAAATACCATCGCACGCAATGCTGTAGGCCAGGTCCTGGGAAATGGGATTAGAATAGGTGGATGTTTGATGACTGGCGCAGACACATTGGACCAAATGGCCTCTTTCTGTGCTGCAAAAACTCCATGACACTCCAACTAGGCCAGGTGCCCTCCAAAGGTCCCCCTGCCCAAACCCTGAATCCAGATCTTTTCCTAGTCCCTTTCCCTACCTGCCTCATGTTCTCGCTGAGTCCACCTTGTTCATGAGAGGCCCTATACTTACCACGCTGCTGGAAGCACCTATCTCCTCTTGTTGGTTTCCATGTTAACTACAGAACCCTCCCCTTGGGCTACTGCCTTTTTCTTTCCAAACTGCTGTCATTTCCCTCTCAAACAGCCCAACCTTTGAGGTCTATGAGTACGGGAATTTGAGAAGGCCCAAAGCTCTGATGCGATAAGACTGCTACCCAGCTCACCATGCTGTGTCTCCAGCCCACACTGGCTCCCAGTCTGGCAGTGCCTTGATGTTTAAATCCTCACCTTTCTTTTGAAATCCTTCTCCTGTTTCCATGTTGATAACCATCTTTAATTCTGGCCTGATACACACCGGATGGCTATGCCTTCAGCTTTCTGGGATCCTGAACTCTGCATCTTAAATCGCTCCAGTTCTTTTCTTTCTTTCTCTATCTCCTTTCTTTCTCTTTCCGTCATACTTTCTCCTCTCTATGTCCTAGATGCTCCTTTAAAAACTCTCTGTTTGATCGAGTTTTTGGCCATCTGTCCCAATGTGACTCGTCAAACTGTGTTTGATGATTACTCCTGTGAAGAGCTTGGTTATATTATTGCTTTTAAGAGCCGCATAAATGCGAGGCGTTGTTTGTATCTGCTGTCAGCATCAGACACTCCCACAGCACGGGGTTAAACACACAGTAAAGTTTCCAAGAAGGGTCTAGACCGGAAACGTCAGCTTTCCTGCTCCTCTGATGCTGCTTGGCCTGCTGTGTTCATCCAGCTGTACACCTTGTTATATCAAAGTTTCCTTTACTTTTTTCAACTGAAAGTAAAGCTCTCTCAACACTGTCCCTCATCAAACAAGGAATAGCGTGGAATTGGATACAAAGTAAAGCTTCCTCTGCACTCTTCCCCCATCAAGCACTCCCAGGATAGGGACAGCATGGGGTTAGATACAGCGTAATGCTCTCTGTACACCGTCCCCGCGTCAAACACTCACAGGACAGGGACAGCACAGGGTTAGATACAGTGTAAAGCTCCCTGTACATCTGGTTTTGGAATGTTTGTTGGGGGATAAGGGCACTTGTGGTTTTGTTAGAAATAGTGTGGAATGATCTTTTTGGACCCAGTTGGGAATGTTTTTTGCCTTGATCTGAGGATGGTGTGCTTGACAATGCAGCAATCCCTAACGTCTGCCCAGAGTTTGCAGTCGATGCGTTAGTCAGGTGCCATCACCTCCTGACTCAGACTGGAGACAGTGATCCATTGAACCACATCTGAAAAAAAGCCACTGGTGTGGGAAGTGAGCTGGTCCGCAGCAATCTGGAGCAGGGTAGTGGATTAGAGTGATCTGGCAGATTGGAATGTGTACTCATGGGTGGGAATGGAAAGTGAGTTGGCCAAATTCTTTGCTTGGTTGCAGTGGGCATGCTTCCAGAACTATCGGCATGGCTCAGAAGGAATTTTGCAGGCTTTCAAAGTGGGGTGTTCAGTCCCTGATGGTGTGAGGATCCCATATCTGAGCTCTCAGTTTAGCTTGTATTCATTCGGACATAGGATGAGGTGTCACTGGATTGGGCTAGCATTTATCACCTATCTTTAATTGCCCCTGAGAAGGTGAGGGTGAGCTGCCTTCTTAAACCACTGTAGTCCATGTGGTGTAGACAGACTCACAATGTCATTAAGGGAGGGAGTTCCAGGATTTTGACCCAGTGACACTGAAGGAACAGCAGCTTTAGTTTCAAGTCACGATGGTGAGTGGATTGGAGGGGAACATGTGAGCATTCCCATATCTTTGCTGCACTTGTCTTTCTCGGTGATAGAGGTGATGGGTTTGGAAGGTGTTGTTGAAGGAGCACTGAAGCTTACTGCAGTGCAACTTGTAGATGGTACACACTGCTACTACTCTGCACTGGTGGTGGAGACAGTAGATCTTGAAGGTAGTGGATTGGGTGCCAGTCATGTGGACTGCTTTGTCCCTGATGGTGTCGAGCTTCTTGAGTGTTATTGGAGCTGCCCCCATCCAGGCAAGTGGGGAGTATTCCATCACACCCCTGACTTGTGCCTTGTCAATGGTGGACAGGCTTTGGGAGATGAGTTACTAGTTGCAGGATTCCCAGGTTCTGACCTGCTCGTGTAGTCACTGTATTGACATGGCTGGCCCAGTTCAGTTTCTGGTCAATGGTAACCCGCAGTATATTGATATAGGGGTGATTGACTGATGGTAATGCCATTGTATGTCAAGTGGTGATACTTAGATTCTCTGTTGTTGGAAATGATCATTGCCTGACATTTTTGTGGCACAACTGTTACTTGCCTGGATATTGTCCAGATGTTGTTGCATTTGAACATGGACTGCTTCAGTATCTGAGGAATGGCGAATGGTGCTGAACATTGTGCAATCATCAGTGAACATTCCCACTTCTGACGTTATGATGGAGGGAAGGTCATTGATGAAGCAGCTGAAGATGGTTGGGCCTCTAGGACACTACCCTGAGGAACTCCTGCAGGGATGTCCTGGAGCTGAGATGACTGACCTCCAACAACCACAACCATCTTCCTTTGTGTTAGGTATAACTCCAATCCAGCAGAGTTTTCCCTCAGATTCCCATTAATTGTAGTGTTGCTAGGCACCATTATGCCATTCTAAATCAAATGCCATCCTGATGTCAAGGGAGTTCAACTCCTGGTCCATTGAGGTCAAGAACTGAATGGTCCTGGCAGAACTCAAACTGAGTAACAGTGAGCAGACTGTTGCTAAACAAGTGTTGCTTGATAGCACTGTCAATGTACAGTCCTCTTCCCATCATGCCGCCCCCCACAAAAAAAAGATAATGCTGAGGATCAAGGGTAGGCTGATAGTTGGTAATTGGTTGGGTTGGATTTGTCTTGGTTTTTGTGATCAGGACATACCTGGGCAACTTTCCACATTGTCAGGTAGATGCCAGTGTTGTAATGCACAGAAAAGCTTGGCTAGGGGTGCAGCAAGTTCTGGAGCACAGGTCTTCAGTCCTATTGCCAGAATGTTGTCAGGGCCCATAGCCTTTGCAGTATCCAGTGTCCCCAACTGTTTCTTGATACCTCGTGAAATGAATTGAATTAGCCGATAGCTGGCATCTGTAATGCTGGGGACCACTGGAGGAGGTGAGATGGATCATCCACTCGGCAGGTCTGGCTGAAGATTGCGGCGAATGCTTCAGCCTTGTCTTTTGCACTGATGTGCTGGGCTCTTCCATCATTGAGGAAGGGGATATTGGTGGAGAATCCAATTCCTGTTAATTGTTCAGTTGTGCCCCCATCATTGACAACTGGATGTGACAGTGCTGTTCTGACAGCTTGGTTCTGATCTGTTCATTATGAGATTACTTAGCTCAGACTATACTTGCTGTTCATGCTGTTTGGCATGCAAGTAATCCTGTTTGGTAGCTTCACCAGGTTGGCACCTCATTTTTAGGTATGCCTGATGCTGCTGTTGGCATGCCGTCCTGCACTCTGTTGAACCAGGGTTGATCCTCTGCTTGATGGTATTGGATGTGTGAGGGATATGCCAGGCCACGGGGTTACAGACTGTGCTGGAGTACAATTCTGTTGCTGCTGTCCCTGTCCCTGGGAGAGTTTGATGGGGGGTGCAGTGTAGAGGAAACTTTACTCTGTATCTAACCTCATGCTGTCCCTTTCCTGGGGCTGGGGTTGGTGGTTGCTGCACAGTATTGGGTTTATTACTCCCATAAACCAGGCCAACTTCTCTCCTGAGGAAAGGAAACTTAAAAGTCCCCAAGGGAGGATATTCTTCAATAATATCAATGCTCACAGTCAATCTGCGAGAAGAACACTTTAATATTTAATCTTTCTCTGCTGTTCCTGTGAAGTATTTTATTAATGGAATAATAACTAAACTTCAATTCATCACCATTTTGGCTCAGTCTTGGTCACCTTTCTTAGGGAAAGAACTCAGTGCCCTTGAGAGCTCTGGGAAAGCACTGAAGATTGTTCCACATAATAGGAATTCAGCTCTCTGGAAAAGTTTCATTGCTGATTTTTCTTTTATAAAGTGTAGACTTTAAACTGAAATGCTCAAGGTTGAATGGAGACTGCCTTGTTCTGTGTTCACCATTGT